GTGTGTGTGTGTGTGTGTGTGTGTGTGTGTGTATTTACTGGGTCTCGAACCCTAGGCCTTGAGCTCTTTGCTGAGCTATTTTGTTCAAGGTTGGTCCTCTACCACTTGAGTCATAGCTCCATTTCAGGCTTTTTCTGTGGGTTGATTGTGGGATTTGAACTCAGGGCATTGTTCCTGAGCTCTTTTGGCTCAAGGCAAGCCCTCTAGCCCTTTTGAGCTGCAGCGCCACTTCTGGTTTTCTGGTGGTTTCCTTGGAGATGATGCTCATGGACTTTGCTGGCCCAGCCAGCTTGGAATTGTGAGATCTTCAGAGCCTCCTGAGTAGCTGGGATTACAGGTGTGAGCCACCAGCTCTGGGCCATTTTTTTCTTTTTATGTGCCAAGACTGTGGCTGAAACTTAGGGCTTTTTACTCTTCCTTTGCTTTTATTTTATTAGTTTATTGTATTTTCCGCAAAAGACTAGTGTTCTACCACTTGAGCCACAGCTCCATTTCTGGCTTTTTAGTGGTTAAGTGGAGATCAGAGTCTCTTCGATTTTTCTTGCCCAGACCGACTTTGAACTATGATCCTCAGATCTCAGCCTCCTGTGTAGCTGGGTTGACAGATGTGAGCCACAGTGCCAGCCCTTGGCTAGTGGTCAGACTTCCTTTTAGTGCCAGGCCCGGTGCTTGAACTCAGCCTGGGCGCTGTCTCTGAGCTTCTTTTGCTCAAGGCTAGTACTCTACCCCTTGAGCCACAGCGCCACTTCTGGCTTTTTCTGGGTCTGTGGTACTGAGGACTCGAACCCAGGGCTTCATGCATGCGAGGCCAGCGCTCTACCACAGAGCCACCACCCTGGCTGGTCCCATTCTGTCATTGAACAATGGTTCCCTCCTGCCTCCCATCCTCCCAGGAAAGGGAAGCAGAAGGGAGGTGTCCTGTGATGTCATCATGTCTCCTCCCCACCCTGCCTGGGCATGCTGTGTGGACCAATGACCTTGGGCTAGGCCACGCAGCTCCGCCCCACTGACCACATGCGTACTTCTCCTTTGTAAGTCTCAGATCTTCATCTGGCTTCCTTTCCTGCCCAAGAAAGGCTCAGGCCTCTCCATCCCCCCCCACTCCCCAGGTCAGGAAGATTCTGGAATCCCCGGGCTTCAATTGAAGTGGATGAAGAACACAACGGAGAGGAAATGGACACTGTTATTGCCAGTCCTGGGACTTGAACTCAGGGCCTAGGTGCTGTTATTGAGATTCTTTTTCTCAAGGCTAGCAGTCTACCATTTAAGCCATAGTGCCAGTTCGGGCTTTTTCTGAGTAGTTTTTGGGAGATGTGTCTAATAGACTTTCCAGCCTGGGCTGGCTTTGAATTCTGACCCTCAGATCTTAGCCTATTATTATTATTGTTGTTGTTATTGTTATTATTTTGTTGGTTGTGGGGCTTGAGCTCAGGGCGTGGGTGCTGTCTCTGAGTTCTCTTTTGCTCAAGGTTAGCATTCTACCACTTTGGGCCTACAATCCTAGCTCTGAGATCTGAGGATTGCGGTTCAAAGCAGGACGGTCTGTGAGACTCAGTGCCAAGAAATAGCAAAAGGCTGAAAGTGGAGCTGTGGCTCAAGTTGTAGAGCGCCATCCTCCTTGAATGAAAAAACCCAGGAATAACATCCAGGCCCTGACTTTGAGTCCCAGGATTCACACACACACACACACACACACACACACACACACACACACACACACACACACTCATACACACACACTAAAATCTCAAGGGGTTTGGAGAGATTGATCAGTGAGGGGTCTAGGTGGCAGTTTGACAAAAATGAGTTTTCAGTGGTCTGCTGTGATATGATGAATGACTACAGACAGACCACAATGTGTCATTCTCTTCAAAAAGGCAAGAGAGGGGCCGGTGGCTCAGTGGTAGAGCGCTTGCCTTGCATGCAT